ACTGACTTTGACAGAGTAGTCGAGCTGCGTCAACAGACTGAGGAATTGCTGAAGGCACGTGATGTCGAGCTCGCCAGTCTCCGGGATACTTTTATCCAGCTGAAAAGCTTCGAGATAGCTCTTGATTCAATCAAATCCGATATAGATGATGTTGGGTTGGCTGAAGATACAGAAACCGATGTGGAAGGAGTTTGGAAGAAAGGCGAGCTAACTAATATGACAGATGAAGGAAGAGATGAGAAAGAAATAAGGGCGGAAGAGAATATGGAGAGCGAATCTGATAATGATATCTCCGGAAAAGACGGCAATGGCAAACTGATTGATCGGAAAGTCGAAGATGCGAATACAGAATCACTGAATACCATAGGAGGGATCGGAAATCAGGAAGAAGAGTGTAGTGGGGGCGATTGGGGAAGCGACTTCATCTTAGATGGTGCCAGCTTTGGAGATATGTTCAACGTCCCGACCAGCGAAGCGTTTAAAACGAGCCTACGTGGTTTAGGTTCAATTTCGAAGCCAGATAATATATCTAAGGACAGACCAAATAAAGAGATGAAGAAGAAGCGATCAAAAAGGATTAAAATGAATAATAAAATTATGTCTGATGATGATAAACTATTGGCAGAGGATGGAAAATCTGAGCCAATTATGAAGCCTACAAAGATAAATGGCTCGGAAGAAGCTGTAAAGATATCTGGTCGTGGTGGCAACGTTTCTGAAAATTCTCCTTTGTCTATGTCTGCGGTTGCCGATAGCCGCCTACGTGCCTCTCTCTCTCTCTTCCTCAATATAGGTCAGCTGCGTATCCAACTCTCTCAGGCCGAACAGCAGGTAGAAGTGACGGAGGCCGGCCGACATCAAGAGGCTTCTTTGCGCGAGGCAGCTGAGACTCGAGTAGCGGAACTTGAGCTAGCTCTTGGTGAGCTGAGGTCGGAGCAGAGTCAGGCAGAGCGGGAACGGGCTGAGGCGGTGACCAAGCTGAATGTACTTTCGGCTTATTTTAAAGTAAACAAATGTGCATACGCAAAGTCATTTTTATAAAAAAATTTTATTGTCTGGTAAAAATATAATTAATTTAGAGGCAATATGGGATAACCCCGCTTGCAAATGATTCGAGAGATTATAGTTTGGACATTTTGGATTAGCAGAAAATCTTAATTTTAATAAGTATGGCAGATGTACTTAGATGAAAATCGTCTCTCGAGTAACTTGCTTCAGAAACTTATAAAGTATTTTGATAAATAAGACTACATGAGCTATCAATGCTCGCGCGAATTGACCCACTCACTTGTTATCATTGCATAAAAAAATCATTATACAAGAATATTTATTCTCGTAGCTATGACGGCTTTTATTTTAGGGCTTTTATTTTAGGGCTTTAAATTTATTCGTAGCCTACATCCGCTTTGTGATCCTGTTTTACTTATTTT